CCTCTTCCACCACTCACACTATCTCTAATCATAGGAACTAAGTTATTCGCGTTTTTCCTCTTTTTGGCCGCCCTCTTACGCGCGCGCCTTGACTTCGCCTCCGTCCAGCCCTCCCCATTTTCAGGGTAGTCCCGTATAGGCGACGAGGGTTCCGGGTGCATTGCACCTCCAGACACCTCCTCATCCACCTCACGCACCACTCCTCTCCTTGTTCTCTGTTCATTCGCGGCGTTATGATCGTCCGCGACACCACGTCCTGCATCCACTACAATTCGTCCAGTCTCGTCAACTCTGATAGACAGAGAAGGTCAGTCTTCTAGCCTCCTCCTATTCCCTCTCAGAGCTGGCCTATACGCAGGGGGGAGCACGTCCTCCCCCAACGCTCACGTCACTTCACTCACATCCGCTGTCCGTCTTCGCGAAACACGTTCCCCTCGAGAGCACGGGAGAGACGAGACAGGGGAGCCTCGTATCCGGTCCTCCTCCTCCGAGGAGGGGACACGACTCCTATCGCGTACTCTTCTCCCATCAACATTCCTAAGGTCCTCTACAGTTCGCCGAAGAGATTCCACTTGGTCTTTAAGGGAAGTTCTCTCTCGTCTGAGAGCATCCATCTCTCGACGGAGTTTAACAACCTCCCTTTCCAGGGCAAGGTTGTTTTCCCTTATCTCATCTGTCGGCCCCATACTTTTGTTGATATGCTCAACCAGCCGCTGCATAGCGATTTTCACATTCACATTCACCCCCACTTTTATTTGTCTTCGAAGGTCCCCTTTCATCGTCTGAGTTCGCATCTCAGCTTCTCCAGCGATATCCAGCACCCTCAGCGTTTCTGCCACCACAGATTTTGGTGACATCTGTGGAAACAGATATGTCACCTCCTCAATTGCATCCTTCTGCCGTGATGAAAGCCTATCATCCAAGTTGCATTCAACCAGGCCTTTCCTCTTCTTGAGGCCATGGCCTCCCCTCTTCGCGATCTTGAAGAAATCTTCCCTATCCCATTCGTCGTCATCATACTCCAGCCTCTTGGATGAGATCCTGGATATCGCATGCGCACCCGGACAATTGGAGCCCTTAGGCTTACGCCCCCTCTTCTTCCCTTTCCTCGGGACCTGTTCAAAGGAGGACGTCAGTTCACCCGGGTCCTCCGTCGGAGTTGACTCCAGTGTGTCGCTCTCCACTTTAGAATCCACCTCCATACCTTCTTCACTAGAGGCAATTGAGGTGAGATCCACGTTGCTCAAATTCTTGGCAGTTCCACTCGGAGCTGGCGTCCCTACCGAACCGCTATCTGCCACCGGGGAGTTTACTATCTCCCCAGCAACCACCCTTATTCGCATCTCCTTGGGATATCTAGATCTCCCTCTTCTAAGCTGCATCTCCTCTTTCGCAGGGGCAGCCTCCTGTACATTCCATCCCCCTGTCGGGTCGCTCGCAGCTGATTGCACCACGTCCATACGTTGCAACCGCAGACGGAGCTCCTTCTTCCTCTGTGAAATCGCTACGCCAGGCCCCTCTATAGCTGTTGGTGCGGCTGTCTTCTCCACTTCCTCCGCACTCCGAGCGCCCACCATCTCTTCGTCCCGGACGGTAGTAGATTCCACTGCAGAGCGCGTCGGTAACTCTGCAGTTGGCCCTTCGTAGGAGCCCCCCGGGCCCGAAGCCTCGGGAGTCGATACAACTCCACAGTTGGCCCT